TATGTATGTATGTATGTATGTATGTATGTATGTATGTATGTATGTATGTATGTATGTATGTATGTATGTATGTATGTATGTATGTATGTATGCATAATGTGTGGATGTATTCTGAAGCATAAAACTGTGCACCGACAATTACAAGATTTCAACATTTTCTTGTTTTTGTTTATGTGAAGTATCAGTTTTTTTTCAACAATTCAATCAATCAATCAATATATATATGTACACACACATATACTAATGCTATCAATAGCACCTTGAAGAAAGAAAGATGGAGACTAATAAAATATTCAAAAAATAAAAAGAAAATAAAATAATTAATAATTGATAGAGCAATGCAGAAAAATAGAAAAATTACAAATTATTGTTTTTTGTCTTTTTTTTCTAATTAAGATAGAGAATATGAAATTGGAATTGAGAAGAGAGGTCTATTTTCCTTTGAAATTTGTTTCTACGAAAATAGTAGTAGTAGTAGTGATAGTAGTAATAGTAATAGTAATAGTAATAGTAGCAGTAATAGTAGTAGTAATAGTAAGTAGTAGAAGCAGGACAGATGATTGAGAGAATGATGAGACAAATAATTAAATCCGATACTTCACGATCAAGTTTGGCCGATTTTTAAATAGAAACGGCAAAGGATAAGAGTGGACAATACGACTTGAGTCGAGTGTAGAGAGCCGATGTTCATTATCTTTCTCTTATTTTGTTTCTTTTAATATATATATATATATATATATATACGTTTGAATTACTTTTTATCTTTCTTTTTCCTTTTGTTTTTGTTTTGTAGGCACCCTCCGTACTTACCACTCACTCATGCGTCACCAAAATGTTCCTTGCAAAGGAAAGGACTATCTCAAGTCGAGTCGATTACTACTGCCTGGTACTAATTATTTATACAAATCTGATCATCATGATCAAAAGCCGATTCTAGTTCTATCTTTTATATTTTATTACTATTATTGTTTTTATTATTATTTATTATTGTTATTAGTGTTGTATATATATATAAAATATAGGAAAAAAAGGCTGAAAGAAAAAAGAAAAGAAAGAATGGCGGCAAGAGTATTTCAACTCGACCTGAATCATTTTAACAAATTAAAATTTATACGACAGACTAACCTGAGGCGACAGAGTCTTCACACTGCGGCTAGTATTTTAACTATTACTCTTTAAAATGTCATACAATCAATTTATCGGATCACATAAGAGTATATCAACGAATTTGTCATAGAACATAGAAATAAGTTGAGCTTTTGAGAATTGAATTTTTTTTAGTCTTTCATTATTATTTCCTGTTTCTCTCTCTCTCTCTCTCTCTCTCTCTCTGTCTCTCTCTATTTCATTCTCAAACTCTCTCTCTTTCTCCCTTTCAAATTCATTGATTATCTTTTTTCTTCTTTTGCTTTTTTTATTTTTCTTTTAATAATAATAATAATAATAATAATAATAATAATAATAATAATAATAATATATAATATATAACTCAAAAAAGAGAAAAGAAAAAGAAATTTACATATAAATTAAATAGATAGTTATTGTAATAATCTCTCTCTTTCTCTCTCTCTCTTTCTATTTTCCTTTCTTTTTTTTCTACGATTTCTTCATACGATTTCTTCATTTTATTTCTTTTTTTTCTTTATAATTAATCATCCCCAGCTGCAGCGTGAAGCGCCACCCATCCGCGATATCGCGTCTCTCCATTAGGACACTGGCGTATAGTGACTGAGGTGTTTAGTTTACTTGTTTCAATTGAATTTTATTATTTTGCCCTATGTGGAAACGGTCGAAACTAAAAATCTAATAATTTATATGTACAAGCATATTTCATTTAAAGCATGACTGAAAATTCCTATTAGATTAACCTCAATTCTATTTCACCCCATTCCATCCCACCCTGTTCAACAGATTCACAAGCTGAACATATATTTTCTAGAAAATATGTATATTCACATCGTATTAAGTTATGCATAAAATAAACTCACTCAGTGTGTGTCGATCAATAACTCAAAAAGTATTCATCAATTAATAATTAACAACTTCTGTTCTTTCGTTAAATATGTTTATCTACGATAGTATAGATAATTGTAAATATAGAGATTTAGTTGTTTTTTAAAATAATGGATAAAGATAATAGATATATAATATAGATAATTTAGAGAAAGAGGAATTATAAAACAATAGTAATAACAACAACAACAATAATAATAATAGATAAATACATTATAAATCTAAGTAAGCAAAATTCAAGCAATTAGAAAACAGAAGATGATGGGGAAAAAAAAAAGAAAACAGAAAGATAACCCCATAATGATTTTGTTTAGTTTTTACTTAACGAGACACGCAGAGGAAGTTTAAAAAAAGAAAAAACAGAAAATAGTTCCAACCGTTTCCTTCACGGTCAAGGTGATAATGATAATGATAATGATGATGATAATAATGATCATAATAATAATAATAATAATAATAATAATAATAATAATAATAATAATAATAATAATAATAATAATAATAATANTAATAATAATAATAATAATAATAATAATAATAATAATAATAATAATAATAATAATAATAATAATAATAATAATGGTAATAATAATAATAGTAAAAGAGTTATTACTCCCTCAGGCACTAACGTATAGATGCGTCGTGGGTCTTTATCGTCAATGATATAATAAAAAACAAAGATTTTGCTAACTTCGTGTAAGCTTCGTGGGACAGGATACGTCAAGTGCAGGCGTGGGCCCGGTTCGATGATGAACTGTATTCCACGCAAGAGACATAAGGTATTTAGCGGGTGTGCTGCTTCTCCTATTTTCATTTTCATCTTCGTCTTCATCTTCATCTTCATTTAATCTTCTGTCGGTCAAAAAGTTCGGTCCGAACCCTAATATGATTTTAGGGGCGAGCCCATAGCACAAAGTGCAATGGTGGAGTGGGCCCGTCCACAGGAGGCGATCATCTAAAGCGTGGATGCATCATTGGCGCCAACATCGGTGCACCAGGGAATCCCATTGGAGCTGCAAATGCCGGATGCATAGCACCCGGTGGTAATGCTCCTATCATCCCTGCAAAACATATCAAATTGTCAGCATTCCTTGATACCAATCATTTTCATCTTTATATTTATGTATGTGTATAATTGTGTATGTATATATATTTTTACTATTATAAATTTTATTTAATTTCTTTTCATTTGTACACAACTCTGTGCAACTACTTACGCCTTGAGTGTGCGTACACATATGTCCAATTCAAATGAAAAATTCTTATATTATTATTATTATACTCTCCTATAAAGTTTTCTTTGGTATTATCATCTTTTTTTTTTGTTAATATTTTTAGGAGACCGTGCATTGTTCAGAGGTAAGATTAACGGCAAGAGAAATGTCAGATATTATGGTAAATATTGAGTACGATTCGTGGTATTCGTTCGCAACATTTATCAATAACTCTGAGCACTTCTCAAGCGAACTCTTACTTTGTCGAACAGGAAGTTGACTGACAGCCGATCCAAAATATTATTTTTACTTATTGTAATTCTAATATATTAAATTATTATTTCTTTTAAACATTATTATTAGTTTTTAATAATATCCAATATAAATTGGGCATTGCATTTTGAAAAAAGTAGCTAAGCATAGTAATATTTATCAATAATTAGAAGAGGACAACAAAATTAA